CCACTTGCAATTCCCAGCAGCACTGGAAAGCTTTGCAACAGGGAGAAATATGACCAGGCAAGTTGAGAAAATAAATTAAACTAGTGTCAACTTTTCTTGTTTCTTCCCTCATTATTAATGGATGGAATGGGGCTCGTTTATCAAGAAGAGGAAAAATTAATTGACACGGGCTTTAATGTTATTATGCCTGGCTTGTCTGGTCACATTTCTTCATTTTTAATTTTTTTTTTTTTTTTTTTACTTTTGAAATGCATTTTATTACCTTTCACAGGACCAGCTGCCAAAACTATGGGTATAAACAAGAACGCAGGTGCATAAATAATACCACAGCAGGACTGGACTTTTCTGCCTTTCAGAGCTTAAGTAGCTGAGATCCGAGGAGCGGAGCAGAGGCGGTGAGCGGAGCCCTGGCACAGAGGGGGAGCACAGCCTGAGCTGCTGTTTCCTGATGAATCTGCTGGGAGGTGTCAGGATGGATGTCCCCTTCTGGCAGCACAGCCACTCCTCGGGCAGCTCCCATGGCAGGGCTGGAGGGATCAGGGACTTCAGGGACCCCAGGGACATCGGGGCATCAGGGACCCCAGGGACATCAGGGGCATCAGGGACCCCAGGGACTCCAAGGGACATCAGGGACTCCAGGGACATCAGGGACCCCAGGGACTCCAAGGGACATCAGGGACCCCAGGGACATCAGGGACCCCAGGGACATCAGGGGCATCAGGGACATCAGGGGCATCAGGGACCCCAGGGACATCAGGGACTCCAGGGACATCAGGGACTTCAGGGACATCAGGGACCCCAGGGATATCAGGGACTCCAGGGACATCAGGGACTCCAGGAACATCAAGGACCCCAGGGACCCGTCCCAGCACTGCATGGGTGGGGGTCAGGAGCAGGGTGGTTCTGTGGAGCACTCTGTGTGAGAGGGGGGCTCACCCTGCACTCACAAGTGGGGTGGTTCTTGCTGAGCAGCAGGAGCCAGGTTCAGGCAGAGCCCTGTTGTGTGGTCGGGGTGTGGAAATCTCCTTTGTCCTCTCCCTGCTCCTGTCCCCTGCCCTTGTTCTTTGGGATTGCTGTGCGGGGCAAAAGAGCCCTGGTGATCCCCTGGTTCCCAGAATATTTCCAGGAGCTCTGTGGTTGCTGTGAGTGCAGGATGAGGCTGTCCCAGCTTCAGGCTCACCAGCAGTGTGGGCACAGCTCGGGCTCAGGCAGCACAGCAGAGATTGAGTGACTTGCTCCACATCACCAGGTGGCCTCCAGACAGCTTGGGACTTAAAACAGGCACCAGTTGCAGTGTCTTCACCCACAGAGCATCTTCCAGGTGGCTGGAGAGCCCCTTGGGCTGTGCCTGCCTGGTGAGCTGGCTTTGGCTCAGGCTCCAGGTGCTGATGGAGGTGCTGTACCTGTGGCATTGCCCTGGCTGGGGGCTGAGGAGGGTCCTGCTCTGCCCATCAGAGCCCTGCAGGGTTAACCCAGCATCAGCCTGGGTTTAACCTCTGTGCTGTGATGCAATCACCTTGTTTTGCTGGTTGCAAGGCAAGCAGGGGTTTGGCAGTGAGACCTTTACCCCCAGGTAAGGTGCTTTGGTGTAATTCTGCCAGGCAGTGACGTCCTTGGGTGGCAGCCACAGCTGTGACACAGATCACTGTGCAGCCTCACCTGGGGTGTGGCAGTGCTGCCAGCCAGGGGAAGGAGATACATTTTGTAGCTGTGGTGTCGTCATCTCGGCCGTATTTTACCAAGTTTGACGTAAAAACTCTCAAGTGATGACAAAAGTGTGAAATGTAGTTGGTAAAAGTGTGAAAAAAACCAAAACACAGAGCAGGGGGTGTCCTGACATTTGGTATCTTCAGTCTGGCTTCTTAACAGTATTTATGGCTTCTGACTATTCTTCTACAGTATTTTAATTTTGTTGTGGTTTCAGTCCCTTTCTCTGAGCAGTGTTTGTCCTATTTCTGGAATACCATGGCAGAGCCTGCTGAGCTGATTGTGGAGCCACCTTCCCACAGGCCTGAACAGGGCTTGGCATCAGAGGAGGTTTTTCACAGAATCCCAGAATCACTGGGCTTGGAAAAGACCTCCAAGATCACTGAGTCCCAGCTGTGCCTGATGCCCACCTTGTCCCCAGCCCAGAGCACTGAGTGCCACCTCCAGTCATTCCTGGGACACCTCCAGGGATGGGCACTCCAAACCTCCCTGGGCAGCCCCTTCCAGCCCTTTCCATGAAGGAATTCTTCCTGAAATCTTCTTTTTTCTGGTGTCATGGTGTGTTGGAGGTCGTGTCCTGCACCATTGGATGCCAGGTGTCTGGGCTGGCATCGTTTTGTGCCTGGTGGTGCCCATGAACCAGCAGATGAATGGAGTGGAGTAACTCCTCATTCCCAGCAGATACCAGAGGAGGGTTTTCCACCTGAAGGTCATGGATACATGTCTCAGCTTCCTTTAGTGCTGGTGCTTGGCTCAGAGCCTCTCGTTTGGGGCATCTGTTTGCCTCTTACTTTATTTTTCTCCCTCTTCTTTGTCTTTTCTTTTACAGAAAAGATTATTCAAATGAATATTCAGTTTTATTCATTTGAATAAAAAACCCAACCGTTTGACTCTGTTAAATGCTTATCTCTTAAATAGAGCTTGTTAGCTTCCAATAATAGCTTCATTCAGAAGGATGCAGTATAATTTCATTTTAAAACGTGTGCTCCTTGACAACCAGAATCCTATTTCTGTCACCGTTTTCAACAGCCGCCTTTGTTTTGGGTTAATCTTTTCCATACACTTTCTGAGAACCGGTTTTTTGTTGACTCTTAGTACCTCTCAGAAGAAATAATTGTCTGTTTAGCCCAGGAAGGTTGCTGAGAGTTTTGGTAGTTTAAATATGAGCGTGTATTCATTATGGGAACTAATAAGAGCATGCGTGCAGGGGGATCTTTGTGTGGGTGCAGTTATTAAAACTTGGAATTTGAAACCCAAAAAGAGGAACAAGAAAAGAATCACAGAATGGTTTGGGTTGGAAGGAACCATGGCAGGGACACCTTCTGCTGTCCCAAGTTGCTCCAGGCCCTTTCCACCCTCCAGGGAGGAATTTCAGTGATGTGTGCCTGCAGGTGGAAATCCTCTGGTTGCTCCCAGTGAGTTTGAGGTGTTGGGCATTGCAGAGGTCACCTCTGCTTTTCCTTCCTCTCGTTTTCCTCTCCAGGCCAGCCTGACCAAGTGCCACGGACCTTTCAGAGCCCTGCAAATGCCTGCTAACACCTACACGTTGTTGTTTTATTGTTGTAAAATCTGGAAATGCAGAAAGCTGGGCGGCCGTCTGATGTAATCAGACAAATAATTTCTTGATAAACCTGTGCTTAAGCCATATGGAGTGGGATGAGAATGGGAGATTTGTTTCCAAGTCCAGACACGTAAGGACTGCAGCGGCTTCCTCGTGGTGTTCATATTAGGGCTAATCTCCTAAATTCCCTCTCCCCTCCATCCTGGCACCGAGACCTAACACGAGTTGAAAGAGGAATCCTCAAACTGCAGCACTCGCTAATGAGCTGCTAATGATGAAGATGTTGCTGGTGCTCAAACAATTAATGACTTGTAGCCCCAGCCCGGCCATCTCCTCCCTGGTCCAGCCAGGCTTTGCTCCCAGCTCTGGGATTCCTGGGATGCCACATTCAGGCAGTCAGCCGCAAAAATTCTGGGCTTAACTGCAGGTCTGTTTAAGGTAGATTTAAATGGAGTAATTTAGAAGGCAAATGAAAGACGTGAGTTATGTAAAAAAATTCAAGCTGCTGCCTGCTCTCGGTGCAGAGCAGTGTGGTGAGCCTGGTGCTGGGCTGAGCCTTGGAGGAGGGCTGGAAACCATTCCTGGCCATCTTTGCCCCAGTGAGAGGGTCTGAAGTGGAATGGGAGCATTCCCCACGGCTGCAGCTACTGCAGAGGAGCTGCTCAGTTGGAAATGCACTTTGCTTTTCATCCAAAGGCAGGGCTGCACTGGGGCTGGCCCTGTCCCTGTGCAGTGCTTCACCAGTGTGGGGATGGAGTTCATCCTCTTAGCACAGTCCTTAGGTTTCATTAGTGTAATTAATCGAGCCTTCTCCAGCACATGAACTGGGTTTTGTTCGTTAGCCTGAGGTTTTTTGTTCAGGCAGGAGCAGGAGCAGGGTGGGCTGCCAGTGCAGCCCCAGCAGAGCAGGCTCAGTGCACAGCCACAGGCAGGCAGCAGGCATCAAACAGCCCAAAGCAGCCCAAATCCTCGGCTCTTTGAAGCAGCAGTGCAGAAGAGAGGAACCATTAGATCAGAGGCCTTAAGCTTAATGGGTTCCTGGAGGCCTCAGGATGTCCTGATGAGGTATTAGAGGAAGTAATTCAGGAAGAAAGGGACAAATAACCACCTCCGGAGCGGGGCTGACCCTGCACAGGCAAAGCACACATAACACAGAGTGCTGCTGTGTTTGGGAAGCACTGGGGTTTTTCTCCTTGCCAGGGGTAAATGAGGAATCATCTTCTGTCTTCCCAGATTTTTATGGTTTTTGGGTCGTGTAATGAGTCAGCTCTAATGGAGAAGTCCCGTGGAATTAAACAAGAGATGAAATCAATATGGTTCCATAGAAATATAATTGGGTTTTTTAGAGATTGCTCTTAAAAACCTATAAGGTGTAAAAGAAAATACGGCCTTATTGTAGTTTCCGAGCCATCATGTAACTGGGGTGTAACTATCCATTAAATTCTGCAGGATGGATCAAAAAATCCATAAGGAGGTTTTAATTCTCCATTAAATCCTATGGAAGAGCTGGAACAGAACAGTATTAATTTTCCCTGAGACAATGCTTCTTCCCTCCATTAGGCTGCAATAAGCTCAGGAGCAGCTCCACAGGCAGCAGGTGTAGCCACACATCTGTGTTGTTATGGAAGTTTTCCAAAGTCCCAATGGCTAAATAATGCTTTATTAGAAGGAAATTGTTACCCTTAACTAATGTTTTCCTTACCCCTCCCCTTTTTGTGTCTTTATTAAATAGGATTTGGCTTCGTAACTTTTGAAAACGAAGACGTGGTGGAGAAAGTCTGTGAAATTCATTTCCACGAAATCAATAATAAAATGGTGAGTGTTGGTGCCCCGTTGTGTGGGTGCTCTGGGGCAGCTGGCCCAGCCCCTGCTGTGCCCCCCCTGCTCAGGAGCTGCCCCAGAGCAGCTCTGGGTGTGAGAAACCCAAGGGCTCGGGGAGGGTGTGAGTTCAGCTCCCAAGCAGAGAGCCCAGCTGAAGTTCCTCCTCGGTGACAGGCAGGTCCCAGGTTGTGGGTTGCCCTGAGCCAGATGAAAAGGGCCGTTTGTATTTCAATTGCTGCAGTAACTTTGATATTTTGGGCTAAAATATTCTTTTTCCCTTTGTCAAAACATCCTTTGCTTCTCACATGTGTATTCAGATATGCATTGTATATCGGTCTGATATGTGTTCACAGACTTTAAATTTAATAATAGAGCTTTTAGTGTGGATAAGATCAAAGCAATCTCCTTGGCATATGCTGGAGGCCTGATTCAATATTTGACTTGCTAATTTTTCCCAGGGCACTGAAATAATATTCCTCATATTGTTGCTCCCTGCAATATGCATCTGAAATAAAAGTGAGGGTCCCCTTGGCCAAGTGTGGGGTGGGGTGGTGGGCAGGGCTGGGGCAGTGCTCCTGCTCCTGTGGGAAGTCTCTTGCTCCACTCCACATGGATGCTGTGGACTCTGCCTGTCCTATTGCCCCCAGCCCCTCCTGCCCTGGGGTCTCCTGCCTGTCCCCCCAGAGCCTCACCTGAGAGCCTCTGCGGTGGGGGGAGGCTCATTCCCTTAAAATAATTTCTAAATGCTGTTAATCTGCCTCAAAACAAAGGAACAGAACGAACCCCAGCCACCCCCACACAACAGACCCCATGACAAGTTAGAAACAACTGAGAAACACTGGGGTTGTAAATTTAGGGATTGCCAGGTGGGAGGGAAGAGCTCCCCTCCAGGGTTTTGCTATCCACAGCAGGAGGGCACACTCCACAGGTTTAGTTATTCCCCACAACAGGCTTTTCCCTGGAGCAGGGCTCAGGGTTGCCCTGGGGAGAGCAGCAGGTGCTGGTGAGCCCAGGCAGGGACAGTGTTTGGTGCTTCATCCCTGCATCCCTGGGCTGGAAAAGCCTCACCTGGCTCTTGGCATCTCCTGGGAGGGGAGGAATAGCACAGAGCTCGTGGGAGGATTCCTTCCCAGGTGGAAGGCTGCCCAGGAAGGGAGCAGGGAGCATGGAGGATGGGACAGGCTGAAAACACTCCAGGAATGTCAGAAAGAGCAAGAGAAACAGTTTTGAGTGTTGGTGTTTGTTGTTGGGTAATTAAAATATCCCCTTCCCACTCAGTGCCCCCTCCAGGTGCCACCATCTCCCGGTGTTCCCTTCATGGCACTGCTTCAGCACTGCTGTTGAAAGCAGCCCACGAGCGAGGGATGAGACACGGTCCTGTCCTGGGACTGAGTCACTGCCCTGCTGCTGTGTGCAGCTGACAGCCAGGGAGCTGTGTGTGCCTGTGACTGGGCTGGGAGTGACACACAGCTGGCCTGGGGGCACTGTTGGGGCTGTGTCACACGGGGATCATGTCCCCCTGTGTCCCTGAGCCCTGGAGGGGACTGGCTCTCACAGCCCCAGCCCGGGGCCTTGGGCTTTGCAGTGGCTTGGTGGGCTGGGACTGGGACACCCTGTCCTCATCCCCATCCCTGCCTGCTTCCCTGTCCCCATCCCTGTTCCATCCCTGTTCCTATCCCTGTCCCGTCCCTGTCCCTATCCCTGCCCATGTCCCTGTCCCCATCCCTGTCCCCATCCCTGTCCCATCCCTGTCCCATCCCTGTCCCCATCCCTGTCCCCATCCCCGTCCCATCCCTGTCCAGTCCCTGTCCCTGTCCCATCCCTGTCCCATGTCCAGAGCTCAGCAGGGACACGCTCAGCCCTGGGCTGGCCCCGAGCTCGCTGCTCCTCTCCTGGACGTGTCGCGGGTCCCATCCCTCTCCCATCCCCGTCCCATCCCTGTCCCTCTCCCATCCCTGTCTCATCCCCATCCCTGTCCCTGTCCCATGCCCAGAGCTCAGCAGGGACACGCTCAGCCCTGGGCTGGCCCCGAGCTCGCTGCTCCTCTCCTGGACGTGTCGCGGGGGCAGGCGCAGGGCACGGGGCTGCTCCCCAGCCTATTTCCAGCTCCAGCCTCCCTGGCAGCCTATTTTTAGCTCATCCATTCTGCTTCTGTTGCCATCCATAAAGCTTAGAATGTCAAATGTAATATTAAACGAGCAGTAGGACAGTGAAAAGAAAATGCCAGCGAGGTATTTAATAAATGGAAGTTGGAATTTACGTGGGAGGCCAGAGATGCTCCAAACATTGCAGGGGGACAATAAACCCAAACGAGCTGTCCTCAGGCTGTTGTTCTTTTGACAGGAGCAGGCTGCTTTGCAAAGAGACACCTGTTTTTCTAAGGAAAAGTAAAAGTAGAAAAGAAATGTGATGGAGTGATTCCTTTCCCTTAGTCCCACTGTGGTGGAGTCTCTCACATCCTGGTGAGGGGGTGATGAGCTGAGCCTGCAGTCAAGGTCCATTGTCAGGCTCTCGAGCAGCTGACAGAAAAGTTGGGCTGTTCTAGAACAGGCTGTGACACTGCCCAGCACCTGTGACCCTTCCTCCCTCTCAGGATGGGATTTTGCAGGTTTTGTGGGCCTTGGGCACTGCCAGGGATGGGGCAGCCACAGCTTCTCTGGGCACCCTGTGCCAGGGCCTGTTCCTGACCCTTTAATTCCAAGCCCCAGCCACTGATCAATAATGTGGTGGATCAACAGACCCACAACTCAATGGGTTTTTTAAAATAAGCTGAAAACCTCTCTGCTGCTGCCTGGTGTGGCTGGCCATGGTGTGAGTGACACATTGTCCCCAAGGTGATCGGAGCCCCCCGGGCTGGGAATCACACGTGGCTGGCACAACAAAGTCTCCTTGTCTTTGCCTGGCTCAATGGGGGCTTGTGCATTGTGGGTATTCACATTCTGCTCTCCTCAAAATAGCCCTGGTTTCCCTGGAAAGCTGTTAAGCAGGGGTTTGTGAGACATCCTGGGCTGAGGGCTGACAGCCTGTTTTGTTGTGCTGGGTATAAGAGGCTTTTCACTCCCCAGCTCAGCCCTCCTGGGTTCCTGTGGCTGAGACTGCTCTGCTTGACCCAGGAGTACCCCAGTGCAAGGTTAATTCTCCAAACTAGACTAAACAAAAATAGTGAATTTTAGTTTCCCTGCCTTTTTTTTTCTTTTATTTTTTTTTTTTAGCCTTAGAGTTAAACCTTTCTTTGTTGGGCTGCTGAAAGTGTAGCACATCCTCGTACGAGGAGGTGGAAAAAATCTGGAAATTATTAAGATGCCCAGAAACTCTGAATTGAAAGTTTGAGTGAGGTCCAGATGTGTGTACAAAGACCCTTATCAGGCACTCTGAGCTGAGTATGGAGCTGAGTCCTGACTCATAAATCCATCTACATTTCCTCTTGGAGAAGCCCCATTGCATGTCCTGTCACACGTGTGACATCCCTCCAGGGTTTTCCCCTTGAGGTAAATGTGGCTTTGGAATGGTTCTGGCCTTCTCCATCCCCTTCCCTGCAAGGACAGGGCTGGATTCTGGCAGAAGAGCAGCCAGGCCCCTTTTCTTTCTGCTTTTGCTGCTGATGAAGAGGCACCACACAGGCCCCCAGTGTATCCATGTTGTGGTTCTTCACTCCTGTTCCCACATTGTCCCAGTTTGCTGATGGGGTGGTGCATGGGCAGCTTCCCAAAACACCTGGTGGTGTGGCCCTGGTCCCTGGCAGTGTGACAGTCCCTGGGGACGAGGGGGTCAGGCAGTCTCCCTCCAGGACAGCAGAGTCCCCACTCCCAGTCCTGTACCCCACATGTCATCCCTCCCGTGGAGAGAGAGTCTGTCTGGATAACAGAGCATCTTCTTGCCCTCCACATGGGGTGTATTTGTTTACAGAGGCTTAGGAATTATTTTTCTTTCCTGCTGGTGACTTTTGCTTCCTGTTTAATCCTGGTTGAAGCCCCTCTGCAGCTCACTGCCATTCCCTTTGCACCCCCGTGTGCTGTGGAGATCAGAAGTGGTGCCAGGCTCACAGAGAGGAGCAGTTGCAAAAGCTAATGACCAGGTTCTTGTTTCTAGGGGTGCTAATCCAAACTTCATTTCCCTGTTAATTGTCCATCCATCCAGGCTGGATGGGTTCTGTCATCCTGACTGTGCAGCACCCAAGGTATAACCAATGCTGCCGTGACTCTGGGAGCAGTGGCCCTCCCAGAAGATGTGAAATGAAGTGACATGACACACTTCTGGTGCTCCCCCCTTCATCTGACTGGAGGAATCATCTTGTTAAATGACACTCTGGTTAAAAATCAGAACAAAGTTAGAGGCACAAAGCCCAAACCTGTGGATTCAGCCTGCAGCCCCTGCAGTGCTGGGCTGCACATCACCCTCCTGCTCAGAGCTGAGCTGTGGAGCCACAGGAATGGGCTGGGACAGCTCCAGTTAACCCCAAACCATCTGACTGGGGCAGCTGTAGCACCAGTGCCAAGGAGAGCACAGGAGCTGTCTGCTGGGGGGTGAGATGACAGTGCCTGAGCAAGAAACCATGGAGAAGTGCTGAATTTCTCCTTTTTCCTGGGAAAAAGAGGCTGGCTGAGGGCCCTGGGTGTCCCCCTGGCAGCAGGGCTGGGCTGCTCTCTCACAGGGCGTTGGTGGAATCACCACGAGGTTCCAGTGGCACTGAGCAACTTCCCAAGGCAGCAGGAGTAACTGAAAGTGAAAGAATGCAGATCCTTTATTAATAGGGTTTACAGAAATTTTCTGCTGGGTAGAAATATTGATTCTTTATTCCTATTTTAAAAGGAGCTTTTTGTAATGATCACTGGGAGTCGTTCTCTGTTATCGATTGCAGAGGAGCCGTGCTGGAGCCCTCCCTCCATTCATCCCGCTCCCACTAGTGCTGGGTTCCCTTTCAGGAGCACAGAACTTCTTAAATCAGCACTTCTGTCATCTTTGGGGGCTGCAGTGGGTGGGTAAAGAGACGCACACGTTTGCTCTTTCAAATCTGGTTACGCTATTCTGGAAGTTCACCTTTGAGCGGGAGGAGGTGTGGGGAGGCAGATGCTAAAAATAAACCTCCCCCCCCCTCCTTAAGTAGATCACTTCTGCATTTGACATTTACATGGAATTCATTTGCATCTCATCTGTACGTGTTTCTGCTCAATAGGTAGAATGTAAGAAAGCACAACCTAAAGAAGTGATGTTTCCACCAGGGACGAGAGGGAGGGCACGTGGATTGCCGTACACCATGGACGCCTTCATGCTAGGGATGGGAATGTTGGGTAAGTGCACAGCCACCACTCACTGCCTCGTCTCCCTCATTTCAAACCCTGGGACAGGGGTGAGCAAATCCCTGCACCTGTGTGGGTGCCAGGCTGAAACTTTTAACAGGGGTGGAGTGAAGAAAATAATCCTGTCTGTGGTAAATGATTAACTTCCCCCCCCACCCCAGCCTGGAATATAAAAAAAATTTGCATTTAAATGGATGTTTTAAATAGCCTGTTTTACTCTTACTCGCAAAAATAGAATGATGAAAGATGCAGTGTGTTCATTCTGACTAAAAATGATCTCTCCCCTTTTTTAGAGGAATTGAGTCACACATTATTCCCCTTCTTTTAAAGGTAGCTTTGACAGTTCAGCATAGATAATTGAAAATCTTGCTGGTTCTTAAATGGCATGGATGGAGGAAGTGGAGGGATGCGTAACAGGACAGGTCGCAACAATAATTACAAGTTTCAAGGAGATGGAATGGTATTTTAGTCCTGAGTATTGTGTCCAGAAAATACTAATTAAATGGGATAAATGATATTTAATGGCAAATTCCTATTTGTGCACGGGGTCTATTTAGTTATAATTGGTTCTCATTTGTTTCTGCCTAGATAATTCTTTCTAAATAATGTGACAACCCCAGATACTCTGTTCTCCCAGCCAAAATGCTGCTAATCCATTGCCAGTGGTTTTTTTTTGTAAAACACCGTATATTTTAAACTTTCTGCTCCCTTTGTACCCCTGGACTTCCCCTCAGTTGTCAGCTCCTGTGCCCATGAAGCCTGTGGGAGTGGGAGGGCAATGTGGAGTGTCCCCAGGCAGCAGTGAGCCTTTCCCAGGCCAATGTCCCCCTTCAGGATGCTTTGATTTTCCTGTCCAGGGTTTCGATGATTTCAGGAAGCGAGCACCAAGCCCAGCCTTGGGCTCTGGGCTGCCCCGAGCTCTGCTGAGCAGATTCAGGGGCTGGCTGAGATGCTGGAGGACCCCAGAGCCCCCAGGGTGGTGTCAGGTCAGAGGGACCCCATTCCTGCAGGGATCAGGCTTTACTCTGAGGTGTCTGACCCGAGGCACTGCTTGATTTGATAGGAAGAGCTTCTGCCATGTTTGCTTTATCTCAGAATTAATAGTGCTTCTGTTGGTGTGGCTGGAGCGATCCATTTCTGGGATGTGTAATCAGGTTATTGCAGCTGATCATCTGTTTTGCTGTCCCCACACTGCACCACCACCCTGGCCCAGAGTGTTTGGAAATCACATTTTATGCTTTAAATATTTATCTTGCTCTAGTCAGTCCTTGATTTCGTTACCTGTGTGTTCCCAGCGTGCCTGAGCCAATGTACTTGATTTCTGCTGTTCCTCTTCCTCCTGTGCTGCCTGAGGTGGGGTGTGCAGGGAGGTGTGTGTGCCACCGTGCTGCCTGTCCTGCTGGCTGCAGGAGGACAGGGTGCAGGTCACCCTGGGAAACCAGAAAGATCCATGGCATCGTCCTCCACCATGTGGCCTCAGCCCTTTTCCTTGCAGCTGGGCACAGAGGGGCTGGAGCTGGATCCACCCCAGTGTCCTGAAGGGAAAATTCAGCCCCCAGGTGCAGCATGAGTCCGTTCCCACTGGGACTACCTCTGGGAAAGGATCCTCTCAAGCTGTGAGAACTGAGGGAAGCAGCCCTCAGTGAGTGGGACTGCACAGAGGAGGAGTTGGGGCACCTCTTGGTCCTGCTGCAGTGGGCTCACCCTGGCCAGTGCAGCCCCAGCCAGCCATGCACTGCTCTCCCTGCATTTCACATCAGGAGGACTGGCTGAGCATTGGTGATTGATCCATGGTGAAGGCCAGATGCTTCATTATCCACTCGAGCTGGTTTTTCATCTTCCAAGTTCCTGCTTGCTACCGTGGCACCGTGTTAAATAATTAAGTGCTAAACAAGGAGATTGCAGCACGGGAGAGCAGAGCTGCTGGATGGCCGTCAGAAAGCCCCGCTTTCAAAGGCTGCAGGGCCCATCCCTGCAGGAAGAGGGGCATAATTAACCCATCAAATGATCAGACACAGAGTTCCATCACTGCTGCTGCTGAGCGTTCTGTGGGGACTCACGAGGCCAGGTCAGGTCTGTCCCCGTGTCTCCTGTTCCGTGCCCAGCTGGACTGAGCCAGAGCAAACTGAGGCTGCTCTGGAAGGGTTTTCATACCTGTTTCCAGAAATCCTTGCTCAAGGTCACCTTCTCCAGCTGCTGTTCCTGGGCAGAGGAGGGAATCAGAGGAATGAACGCGCGAGACAACCCCAAGGAAGGAGCGGGGAGCGACTCCCTCCAAAGCTATTAAGGAAGTTGGTCTTTTTCATTAATCACAGCCTCCCCAAGGAGCCTGCAGCAGCCAGGGTCTAAAGGTGCGCAGGCAGCCGCTTCTGTGATGATTTGGTTGATTGGAGCAAAATTAAAGTGTTCTGAAAGGATTTTTTTGACTGGGAGAGCGGGGGCAGGCTGAGCCTTCTGGCAGGACGGCTGCGGGGCTGCTGCTGGGACACGCTGGTCTCAGGGAGAGCAGGGCTTTAATGAGCCTCTCTGCATGAAGAGTGGAGCAGTCAGTTCCACTCCCCTCCCTGCCAGCCCAGCCAGCAGGAAGAGCTGTTCCCCAGCCCCTTGGATGCCCTGTGTGCCCCCCTCTGTGGCTGAGTGACACTTTGGTGACCAAGAAACTCTCTCTGTTTCTGGAGCCTCACACTGGCACCTGGCCTGGGGTGCAGACCAGGAGCTCTGTCACCCAAGGGCATGTGGGTGTCACAGCACTGCCCCAAAGCTTCTTGTGCTCTGTTCAGGTCTGTGCCTGGAAACTTGTGAAAAAGAGAGCGACAGAGGAGCAACGTTAAGAGGAGACGGTTTTTGTCTCCCCTCTCATCTGAAGCTGCTCTCTGGGACACTGCAGTCACCACAATGGTGACACACAGCTCTGGAGGTGACCCTGCACTGCCTGCCTTGAGCTGGGGCTGGCATTTCTCCTGGTGATGGGGCATCATCCTGGTGTTTAATGCTGAAATCGGGCTCATTTTAGCTTGCAAACCCTTCCAGAGATGGAAGCTCTCGGCCCCCCAAGCTCACACCCCACAGTGCTGGAGGGATGTGTGGTGGGAGCATGGATTTGGGAAGGGCTCTGGCAGGGCTCTGTGTTCTGCTCACGCTCAGTCTAGGTAGGCTGAGCTCATGCATTAGAGAAGCTTGTGCCCTTCAAAGAAAGTCATTCCTTTTTCCACCAGACACTGTTCAATGGAGTAGCAGCTGCAACTCAGAGCAACATTTGGAGACAACAGCTTCCTTGCATTTTCTGGAGCATTTGGACTAATTTTGCACGGGTCCCCTGGCTCCTATGTGCTCAGCATTCCCACATGTTGACCATGAGCTTTTGTCCACCCCATTAGCAAATTTTAAAATGAAAAGACATTTCCACAGCCTGGACAGGAGCTGGGTAGAAGCCGTGGTGTGAAAGTGCTTTGACTGCTGGTTTGAGTTTTGCTTCTGTGGTCAGGACAGTCTTGCTTTGAAGGAGCAAATCCAGTCAAAACTTGGATTTTTGGTTTACTTACAAGGGATTGGTCACTCCCCAGGACTAGCAAGGCAAATCAGCTTCTCGGTGCCCAGTGCAGGATGAGGATGGCACCTAATGGGAATGTTGGGAAGGTCAGCATGGGATCATTTGGCCTGATGATCTCCACGTAGGCGTGGTGTTAAACACCATTGATATTCAGCCAGGCAGTGTCCCCACGAGGATCAGGCTTCGAGTCGTTAGAGCAGAGCTGGGCACTGCAGCAGTAAATGAAGAGGAAAATTGAAGTAATGTTGTATTATAAATTTATGATTTCATCTGCCTGACTTTGAGCGCGCTGAGTGCTGCCAGTGCCAGCAGAGCCCCCGGGCAGCTTGGCTGCTGCTGGGGCTGTCAGGCACAGCCAGCTTTGGCCAGGGACAGCAGGGCTGCCCTGGGGTCGGAGCCAGGACCATTCCAGGGCAGGCAGCAGAAGAGGAGGCATCCAGAGCACCGTGGGCAGCTCCATCCCCCACCGTGCTGGTCTGGCTGGGGCACAGGTACCACACCTGCAGAGCTCAGAACGTCAGCCCCTGTGCCCTGACAGTTGTGAGCTGCACATCTGCTTCAGAGCTGTCTGAAACACAGCAAACTGCATTCCTCCTCTTGGCAAGGAGAGAGGGGCTGCAGTGGACGATTTTTCACTGGTGTTAATGGCACTGCTTACTTAGCAAAGAATCCATTTATCAATAGTGTTGCTTTAAAAAAAAAAAAAGGGAAAAAAGGTTTGTAAAGCTTAACTCTGAAAGATCTGACTTAATGACAGAGGTGATTAATTTCTAAGGGAATCCAGCTGTTGAGCTGTGAGAGGAGGGCTAAGCAGTGTGTACACATCCCGAGCGCCGTGCTGTCCGGGCTGCCTGCGCTGCCTCTGCCTAATCCCATCATCAGAATTCATCCAAGCATTTTTATCTTCCAGTTTTGGATTATGATTTATAGTACGCTGCACGTATGTATAAATCTGATGGGAAATGGAGGGGCTTGCTGCAGCAGGAAGGCACTGAGTGATGGATGGGTGTGTTACAGGAGAAATAAAAGCAGGGTAGGAGCCCCCCAGAAGAGACATTGAGCCTGTTCTCAGCTCCAGCCCTGCTGCTGCCAAGATCCCCACTGAGTTCAGACAGCAGGAGAGAACTTTTCCTGGTGGGTTCTGGGTTTGGAGAGGCCTGGGCTGATGCTGAGGCTCGTTCTGTGCTGTTCAGTGCACTGGAATTGCACATGGTGGTGCCTGTTTTTAAGAAAACTGAGCGAGGAAATGTTGAAGATCAATGTGAGGTTAGAATTTTAGGAAACCCCTGAGTGTGCAGGACACCTTGGGACATTGGCCATCCTGGTCAGAGCAGATAGCCCCTGTAGGACCAGAGAGAATGGCTGTGGGGAAGTTGAAACAGGGGGGGCACAGTGTGTGAGCCCAGGGCTGCTGGCAGCCCACTCATGGCCAGGGGTCCGTGGGACATCCAGCAGTTCCTTCACACACAGGAGAGTGAAGGCAGCAGAGCTGCCACTTTCACTGAGTGTTCTTACCCACGAAATGCTCTCAAGTGAGCTTTTCTCCTAATGAACCTCCCAAAGCTGCCCGAGGTCGGCTGCTCTTCCTCAGAAGGTCCTTCAGAAGCACCCCGGGCAGCTTCCTTTTACTTTCCTGAAAAATTAAAAGCTCTTTGACTCCCTGGCTCGTTGCTGCTGCTGCCTCCAACTCTTTGATGTGTTAACTGTTGTCCTTCACACTCCCGGGATAAAGAATTACTACTACCTTAATCTCCAACTGTCAATAGCTCTGAAGCAAAGTACATTCATTGTAAGCTCTCCAAATGTCAGAGCAAACCCGTGTTATGTGTTTAGCCTTAGCATTTGGCATTTACTCTTCCAGCTAACAAGTATGCACAGTCCTTGGGCTCCAGACACCAAAGTGCATGTTAATTACCAGAGTGACAGGGCTCCTGCTCGGAGCTGGGCCAGCCAGCTCGAGATGTTTCTATTCAGGGTAATGATGAAACCTCTCTGCAGTTTGGCATGAGCAGAATAAATCTGATTTTTTTAATACCCTCCGTAAAATTAGGTCTCACCCATCCTCCCTGTCATTGTGCATTGTGTTAAAAAACAAGCCAACAAAAAAAAAAAAAACCTTCAAAAGACCCCTTCATTAATCCTCAAACTTCTCTCTCTCTTTATTTTTTTTACGTTTCTGTGATCAAGGTTACCCGAATTTTGTTGCAACATATGGCCGAGGATATCCTGGATTTGCCCCAAGTTACAGTTATCAGTTCCCAGGTACGTACATTTCATTTGCAGATATGCTTTATTTCCCCTCTTTCCTTCTTTTTCTTTTGTTTTTTTGGGTTTTTTTTTTTTCTTTTTATTTTTTTTTTGAAGTCCGTAGCTGCAAGCTGAGACAGGCAAGTCTGCAGGGAGCATCTCACACAACAGCAAATTTTTTCTTTTATTTTTTTTACTATTTTAAAATAGACCTTTATAGCGACATATTTTCAACACATTTTTTTTTTCCCTAATGTATAAATTGGTACTGGTTATTTGAAAACAAACTTCTTAAATTAAAAAAAAAAAAACATAAAAGCAAGAGACATCACTGGAGAGCTGTTCCCCTGCCTTTGATGGGTTTTTCCTTCCGTAGAGCTACACACAGACACACACACAGGGACCCCCCGTGCTGGCCTGTGGTAAGTGAACCTCACTGCTGAGTGCACATCCCACCCTGCTGCGTGCCCTGCTGCCTCTGGGGGTCCCAGCTCTGGGGGTCCCAGCTCTGGGGGTCCCTCCCAGGAGCAGTGGGCAGTGCGTGGTGCCGGCCTCGGGGTCAGCTCGGTCTGGGGAAATCAGGTGAGAGAAGCACAGGACAGGAGGGTCTGGGCTGGAAGGGACTCCAGAGGTGCAAGCCCTGCAGTGAGCAGGGCACTTCCCCTCGGTCAGGCTGCTGAGAGCCCTGGCCAGCCTGGCCCTGAGCACTTCCAGGGATGGGGCATCCCACAAAGCCCATCCAGACGTGCCCCTCCCGGCTCCTCCCGCAGTGGGATGGAGTTTCCTTTCACCCCAGGCCTTTCCCAGGCAGCTGGGACAAGGGAAGCTGTGCCTTTGCTCTCTTTGTGGCCGAAGCCCCAGCTGGCCACCGTGAATTCCTGAGCAGCCTGGTCACCAGGGCCATGTGCTCCTCAGGGCTCACAGCACAGGGGTGGGAGCTCGGGGTGACAGGGACAACAGTGACCCCCCCTGCAGTGAGCAGGGAGGGCAGGAGGGAAAGCAGCAGCTCACAGGAAGGTTCTCTAGGGTGGCTGAGGATGTGGGCAGTGCTTGGCTACACCTGCAGCGTGCTGGGACAGACGTGGAGCTGTGCGTGCAGCCCTGGCTCATTAGGATGAGGCCCTGCTGTGGAAAAATACAGATTGTTGTCATCTGTAGGATGAGCAGTGTCCTTGGGATGGGGTTATTGTGCGGCTGTTTCTCGCAGGACCGAGGGGAACGGCCCTGTGAGGGTTTGTTTACTTGGATTCACAAATGCCACGGCTCTTCTGGAAGCTGAGCCGCCTCTTCCCACCTGTGGTACATCTTCCCCCCTGGACCAGGCCAGGTCTGAAACAACTGGGGTGTCAGGCAGACAGCAGAGCTGCTGGGGTGACACGGTGCTGGTGGGGACAAGGCAGCTGCCCCCAGATCCAGGTGACACCACCTGTGGTTCTGCTGGAACCAGAGGGACAGGCTGGTCTGGCAGGATTGCAGCCAGGAGCTGGAGGTGAGGAGGAGGCTTCAGCAGCTGTTCGTGTGTTGTCTCAGGCTCTGACTCCTCACAATTCCATGTGTCAGCTGATTTGTATGAAGGCATTGAAGGAGAGACTCCTTTGATAGGTTTAATGTCAGAAATCTGCAGAGGTTAGATGAGTTTAATTATAAACATGTCTAAAGCGGCCGTGTTTGCTCACTGACAGCAAAGGCACCCTTTGACTCGACCCCTTCTTAGATGTATTTTTTTAAGGGCCTGTTTTTACCAAAGCAGGACTTCCAGTTACTGCCTGGTTATTTTCAGTCTCCTGCAGAGATTGAATATGGAAAATAAATCCAGGTAGGTTGTCCCCAGCAGAAAGCTGTGGGTCACTGCAGGAGAACAGGAGATGCTCAGGGCCCTGTCTCACCTTGTTGAGTTCCCCTGCCCCAAGGCTCTGCCCCTGCTCCCCTCCCACTCGGATCAGTTACTCCTTAGCAGCAAGCAGAAGCTTTCCAGAGTTGTTGGGAGTTTCTCAGGTGGTTTGGGGCTCTGGTCTCCAGAATCACAACCCGTCGGAGCGCGCGGCACGGGGATGGTGCAGCGGCAGGACGGGGTGTCCCTGCTGCTGCAGTGCTTGGAGCAGAGAGCCCAGTGCCACAGGGCACAGCCTGGCTCCAGGGAGCCTTTCAGGAGCAGGGCAGGAGGAAGGTGTCAGGTGTAAAACCTCAGTGCTGTGGTTTGGAGGGAGGAGTACTCGGCTGGTTCTGCAGGAGTGTCCGAGAGCCTCCCGTGCCTCCTGCCCTGGGCTGCTGCAGCCTCAGTGCAAATACACAGAACAACCTTCAGTCACACTCCGGGCTGCTCCCAGGAGTTCTGCCATCACCCACCCGTTTGCATTCCCTTCCCTTGTCCCTGTCCCTCGGGGGCTGTCCCATGTCCTCTCCCACATCTCCAGCCTTGCCCATGGCATGGGACAGCCCCTGGCTCCAGGGGCAAGGCACACAACCCTTTGGCAACTGCTCTATCTCCTCCTGTCCCATTATTCCTCCCAGCCCTTCCTCATGCAGTACATTGCCTCTTTTTTTTTTTTTTTTTTTAAATCTCCCCCTTTTTTTTTTTTTTTTTTTAATTGCAATCACTCCCTTTCTGTATATCTTCTCTTTTTTTTATTATTTCTGGGACTTATCTTTTCAGTTTAATCTATTAATTTCTGTTCTTATTTCACTTTGCAGACTATTTGCCGATTTCACAAGACATAATTTTTATCAACTAGTTCTTAAAGATGCATAACAAATTAATCGGGGTTTACTACAGTGCTAATGAGAGAGAGACAGAGAAAGCCTGGGTGGTCCATGTTTAATATCAATGTCCACTGAAAAATTGCTGCTCTTACTGGCTGGTTTGATTGACTGGACTTTTTATTTTATTTTTATTTTTTTTAAAGGCTCCATATCCTCACTGCTTTGAGTTTGCTTTATTTTTTTTTTTTAATTTTTTTTTTTCCTCTGCTTTGTTATGAGTTTTTAATGCCCACTTGGAATGTAACTCACAAGGATGGGGTCGGGGGCGTTCCGAAGGCATGACTTCTCACAAACTTTTTAGAAAACCGTTTTACCAACGCAGCGAGGAGGATGATCGGGTGGATTTGGTCTCACAGACAGCCCCAGAGAGAGTGACTGGCGCTTTTTAACGTGGTGCCACCCAGCAGTGGCACAAATCCCACCCTGACGGGTGTCCCCTGTCCCCGTGGCAGCGCAGCTGTGGGACCCAGCCGTGTGACTGGGTGTCACACACTGCCCCATTCCCTGGCCTGGGGCTCTTTGGGGGCTGCCAGCATCACCATGGTGAGGTGCCACCAAGGGAGGGGCTCAGGCAGCTGCTGCCCCCACTGCAATTCCTGCCCTGCTCCCAGAGCCAGCGGGGCTTGGAGCAGCCTGGCACCGTGGGAGGTGTCCCTGCCCGTGGCAGGGGTGGCACTGGCTGAGCTTTAAGGTCCCTTCCAACCCAAACCGTTCTGGGTTTCTCTGATTCTTTGATCTAACTCTGACCAGCGATGGTCCTGCGCACTCCCTGCAGCTGCTTCTCCTTCCAAACTTTGCTTGCAAATCACGGGCAAATCTCCTAAATTGTGGCCGAGCTTTCCCTGCTTAAGCTGCGTCACACTGCGCCTCTGCATCTGCACCGGGGGGCAGGAGAGCTGCAAACCTCCATCCATTGGCTTTACTTAACATGGCCAGATGCTGGACTTTTGGGTAGAAAACACACATTCTCTTTAAATTCTGCTGTTCCTGTTGCTACCCGTGTGATAAGTTTGTGAGAAGTACGGTGCATGCTTACAGTAGAACTGTAATGCATTTTAATGTTTGTTAATCCACTTGTTTAAAATGTCAGTGTCAAAGGCTCTACAATCCATGGCTGTGCTGTTCATTTCATTAAAGATGCTTGATGTAATACTTGGGTAGTTTTCTTTTGACTTTTCTGCAGGCAATAGCTTTTTTTTTAATCTGTATGGCTTCTTATTATTTTGTTTGGGGTTTTTTGCTATGAATTGCTTTGCTTTTGTGAACTTGTCTTAGTGTGCATGATTTGCAAACATTTCGGCTATTGTGAATTTTCTCATTTTTTGTAAATAGTCCATCTGTGCTTTTCTTTTTTTTTTCTTTTTTTTTTCTTTTTTTTTTTCTTTTTTATGACTTTTTTCCTGTAAGTAACTGAGGTAGAAAATAATAATAAATTGTTTACAACGGATGTGCTGTGTTGCTGCTCTCTTAGCTTGCAATTTTAATATTTTGGTTTGGACACCCCAAATAACCAGTACCAATGACAGTTGAATAAAAGAATAAAACCATCACTCAAAAACGTGTGACCCACTGTTTGAAGAACCTGCAGAGGAACAGTTACATGCAAGGTGTGTTTACAGCAAAAATTATACCCAAAAAAAAGACAAAATGCACTCCTAACTGGGGAGAGAGGAAATTGCAGCATCCCCACTGGTCCTCCACCACTGTGATGGGATGTTCCTGCACTGTCCTTTATCCCAGTTATATTTTCTCCCATCATCACCTGAGCGTTTGGGGATTGTCAAAGTTTCATAGAAGCCTTCAGGTTAGAAGTTTAAATTATTTATTTTAATTAAGGGTTTGTTTGCTTGTATGTTTGTTAAAGCTTATTAAAACCTTTGTATATGGTGAGAGGTGAGAAAAACAAATATTTTCACAAACTTCTCAGAGCTCAGGGAAATAAATTTGCTTATTAATACTGGTGCTGCAAAAGCCATGAGCTCAGCCTTGGGTCACGCTCCTGCAGAGCCTGGGGCAGTGGAAATGCAACACAAGATGGTTCAAAGTCACAAACTGATGTGGTTTGTTACTGTGAGAGCATTTAACCCAACTTCAGTTGAGCTGAATTCAGTTTCTTTCCCGATGCCAGCCCCACGGTGTTCAGCCATCAGTGTGGGCAGGGAGGTGTCCTGTGTAGAGTTATGTGTGGTGCTCACCTGGGAGGGAAGAACTAGAAAATAGGAATTTTCCAGGTGAGGAGAAGGAACTGCTGCCAG